AATTTGAATTCCTGTCTCTTCCCCAGTCAGGCCAGCAGTGACATCTGAATTACAATTCTGACCATTATAGTTCAGGAACTGCAGGGTGCTCTTGAATTTTTGACTGAAGGGTGCTAAACCAATGTTTTCTGATAGGTGAGAGTGTACAGGTGGTGCCCTTACAATTACCCCTTTATAGCTTACAGTGCTTAATCACCGGCAATTTGATTACGTGGATTTTATGAATGACCTCAGGGCATGTGAGTCAGCTGAAGATGCTTCCAGGGACAGTACAGGTGCTGGGCTGAGTGCAAAATGAAAGGTGGCAAAATTGAGGGGTGGTGAGGAGGAGGAGGAGGAGCAGCAGTTCACATGACTGTGACTATGTGATATCAAAGTCTGTTCTGATAAAAGTAATTGAAATTGCAATAAAGTCTTTATTTCATCCCCATAGTTCAATCATTGTGCAGGGAGTGAAAATGATGATTATTGGTATACATAGATAATTTTGAGTTTGGATTTCTTACCTTTGGCCTGCTGCCCTTCTCCCCACCATGCTTCTCAATGTACTTTCATTTCATAAGCTTAGTAGTCAGGCAGCATGGAATTAGTTTGATAAATGGGCTCCAGTGCTGTGAAAGGTTGTGAAATTTTGCCACTCCAGAGTTCTGGCTTGTTGGCTGGACTGTAGGCCTGGCAACTGCAACTTCTGCTGCTTCTCTTGCAGCCATTTAGCGTGGGCAAATACTGCAGACTTAAAGTTGCAAAAGGTTTCCCTAATTTTGGGTGCAGCCCTTCAGTATTTACCATGAGCGTTTTCATCCAGAACTGTGTACAAAATTCTATACTTTTTGTTTATACCCACTGCCCATTTTGCCACCTTATTATATATTTAATAACCACATGGGGCTACTTGCATCAAAGAGTTTAATCTCAAAACAGCCTTGGGGGTTGTATTTGAAGTCTGTTGATGAAAGCATTGTTATGCTTTGAGGAGCTATTCAAGAGGCGACTACAGTAGCAAGTGGTTACCCTTAAAGCATGTTTTCTAAAAAATTGTGGTTTGTCTGCTCCTGATTCACTTACCCATTTGCTTATGCTTCTCCCATTTTTTTTTCATGTAAATTCCCATGCACAAGGCAGACTGAAACATCCAGTGGCCATACACCACTACCTCTTCTCTAAGAGGACCTCTTGGTACAGCCAGCTGGGCAGGAAGGCCAGGAGTGAGAGGAAGAGTAGCCAATGCTGAGAGCAGAAAGGAGACAGTACAATATCCTATACACCTGTCTGGTCACAAACCAGGTTTCTTCACCCAGAGGTGTAATTCTCCAATGGTGAGATATTCACTAAATGAGAAGGCTCATCATTGTCACGGTTAGATCATACTATGCATGGGCTTCTGTGGTATTTTGGTAGAAAAGTGCCTAGAAGAGGTTGGAAAAGCACAGCAGGTGCTGGGGAGGTTAATGACCTTAAGGTGCCTGAGGGTACTCTGTGGGTCTGATGCCTAACTGATGTGTTGGGTATTACTAGTGGCTGTTAGAAAGCTACCATAGATGGAGATAAGGGTCACTGGCAGCAGGAGTCCACTGAGTTCATGTTGTCATCCTGGATTTAAAGTTGAAAAATGTTGGGATTGCTGAGACAGCTTTGTGCTTCAAGGACTGAAGAGAGGTGAGGTTGCAGATGTTCCTTACGGTCGTGTTAATGTATAACTGAAAAGAAAATAGCAGAAAAGTCTGCAAATAGCTCTCATCATTGTTCTGTTGGGGATGGTCCTATCTACAGTCTTCCCCTGTTTATCCTACCTGCATTCTGTCTGTACTAAGCAATTTTGTGACTGGGTGGTGTGGAGAAGTATCTATTGCCAATGTCAACACCCTGCTTGCAACTGAACAGTATGTTTAAAATACGGGGAGACTTCTGGCTGATACACAGCACTTGTATTTGAAGACCGGTGCTGCAAGGTGAATGAATCTGGCAGCTGTGATCTGTCACAGTTTTCTTGGGAATAAGGGGTCCTGTATTATTCCAGTTTCTAAAAAACATTACGTTTAACAGTGTTTAGGGAGAAAGCTAGAAAATCTGTAAGGGAATTTAAATCTGTGGATCAGCAGTTGATCTTTGAAGTAGAATCTCTTTGAATCTACATTCAAAAATTAAGGTTTAGATAAGAATCTTGACTCTGCGTGGGGTTTTTTGGAGAATAGTTACATACATGGTGAGCAGTAGTTAATTCCAGTAACCTAGCTTCAAAGGCCTTTAATCCAAATCACGGCTGAAATTCTCTCCAAAGTTATATGGGAGATACAGCAGGTTACAGCAGGTACTGGGACCTATACTGTTCAACATCTTTGTTGGTGACATGGACAGTAGGATCAAGGACACCCTCAGCAAGTTTGCCGATGATACCAAGCTGTTTGGCGAGGTAGACATGCTGGAGGGGAGGGATGCCATCCAGAGGGACCTGGACAGGCTGGAGAGCTGGGCCCAAGCCAACCTCATACAGTTCAACAAGGCAAAGTGCAAGGTCCTGCATCTGGGTCGGGGCAGTCCCAAGCACAAATACAGGCTCAGCGGGGAATGGCTGGAGAGCAGCCCTGAAGAGAAGGACCTGGGTGTGCTGATTGATGAGAAGCTCAACATGAGCCAGCGATGTGTGATCGCAGCCCAGAAGGCCAACCGTATCCTGGGCTGCATCAGAAGAAGTGTGGCCAGCAGGTCAAGGGAGGTGATTCTGCCCCTCTACTCCACTCTCATGAGACCCCACCTGGAGTACTGCATCCAGCTCTGGAGTCCCCAACATAAAAAGGACATGGACCTGCTGGAGCGTGTGCCGAGGAGAGCCACGGGGATGATCCGAGGGCTGGAGCACCTCTCCTATGAGGAGAGGCTGAAAGAGCTGGGGCTGTTCAGCCTGGAGAAGAGAAAGCTCTGGGGAGATCTTACTGTGGCCTTCCAATACCTAACGGGGGCCTACAGGAGAGCTGGGGAAGGACTTTTTACTAGGTCACGTAGTGACAGGATGAGGGGGAATGGCTTTAAACTGGAAGAGGGCAGGTTTAGATTAAACATTAGGAAGAAGTTTTTCACTTTGAGGGTGGTGAGGCAGTGAGGTGGTAAGGTGTCCCTGCCTATGGTAGGGGAGTTGGAACTTGATGCTCTTCAAGGTCCTTTCCAACCTAAACCATTCTATGAGTTAGCAGGTTGTGAGTATGCTGTAGACTTGCCTGTCCAAACAGCCTTTTGGCTTGAATCCAACAGTTCTAACTTTTCTCTTTTCCTCATGTATTCATGCACCTTGCTCTGCATTACAGGATCTTTGTAGTCTTCATGTTATGTGTGGATATATTACTTTTCTAGCTAGTGAAGGAAAAGCTAGAGAATGGAAATGTTTTCCTGCTGTATGTCCTTGACTTCTGTAACTGTCACTTAACCCCATTATCTACCTAAATTTAAATGTTGAGTAATGTAATATAAAAAAAAAAAATTACCAGCAGTGATTGCTATCTGTAGAACGCTTCTGCTATTTTTATTTCCTTGCTTTGCATGAGATAGGGCAAATTTGAGAAGGCTTCTCCAGAGCTATTGATTACAGAGCTAATGATTACCTCCTTCTGGGGAAATCTCTGCAGGCCCCAAGAGTGACGCATGGGCAAACTGCTCCGGGAGGTGTCACGGCGCTCACCCCTTGGTTATGGTCTCTCCTGGATGTCCAGTATCAGCCACTGAGAATAAGAGGGGATTCTGGGTTAAGTGAACCTTTAGCCTCACCCAGCAGAATCATTTTTACTTTGTTCTTTGCTGGAAATCCATTTCTGTGCTGTAATTGTCACATATCTCAGGCAGTTACTGGGGGCTCGAGTGTAGGGGGGAAGGTTTTTGAGTGCTTTTCTGCACATGTTGGAAGAGGAACAGGGAAGGTTTGGAAAAAATAGCCTGAAATATCACTTTTTTTCTGACTAACTACTGAATCAGTCAGGTTTCCCTTCTTGCATCTCTCACGCTGCTCCTAAATTACATTCTTAGGTTGCAGATCATTCTCATTCTTGTTCTGCTGTCACTTGTAAGTGGCAATACTCATTCACCTTTTGTGATTTTTATCGTTTCTCTATCCCTTTCTTTCCCATTGCTAAGCATCATGCTTGTACTTGTCTTTCCCTTGTTTTGGTTCTTCCAGTCTCTCTTGGTAGTGGTGAATATGCAGTAAAGCTTCCATTATAGTTTTCCATCTTTTCTAATTTGGTTACATAAATTCTTGCTCTTTTTTGTTACATATGGAAATTAGTAAAATGTGCTTTGACACGGGGGAATAAACAATACATATATCAAAAGTAATTTGTCAACAACTTTAGATTTTGGTATGTTGATGTGTCATACCATAAACCTTACACAATAGTTAACTTCTTGTTTACTTTACACCTTACACCTACAGAAACCGACTCAATTTTTCTCTTGAGACAGGGTGACATATTAAAAAAAAAAAAAACAAAACAAAACAAACCAAACACCCAAAACTGAACCAAAACTGTTTATCAACTTCATATGAGTACTACTTACATAAAAGGTTAAGAGCCTTCTTCCCAGAAGGACTTACTTAAGTTTTTGCTGTTGTAACAGGTATTATGATGTAAATATTTCCAGTAAATCATTATGACAGTGGAAATATGTATGTGCTTCTGGGGGTGAGAATAAGGTAGAGATGAAGAGCTAGTCATTTGGAATTTAGAAAAATAAGTCTGCATTTGGAATAGTAAAAAAGAAAAATGGCAAGAAAATTCAGCTTTAACAGCCTCTCTGGGGAACGTAAGAGTGAAAGAAGCCTTTTTGCTGAAATATGAACATACATTGACCTGTATCCAAACTTCAAAGCCAATAAAATGCTCTTGAATGTCAACAACTACTTTATTTTGTCAAAATAATCCTGTTTGACACTTTTTTTTTTCAAATGGACTCTAAAGAGGAAGAACCATAGTGCAGAATTCAATGTATGCTGAGTATTTTTGGTGGATGGCATAATGCGGATAAGTAAGAATATACTGGTAGTGGCCTATCTCGTAAATTAAGAAAACACTTCAACTAGAACTTTTATGACTATACCCTTACAGCTTGGCGTATGTTTTCATATTCAGTTACTATGTGGAAGGTGTTGACAGAAAATGAAATTTTAATTTTATACACAGCCAACAAATCTTAATAGTGGCCTGATTTTTAGTAATGAGACCTCAGCAAAATATGTATGTCACCAGGGGGGAAAACATTCATCAGTTTGGAAAAATCCCTAAACCTGTTCATCAGCCACCTGTCTTAAATTGCTCCTCCTTTTCCAAGAGAGAATTTTGTTGCTTTCTGAAGCCCTTCTAATTGAAAATGACACTTACTCAGGAAGGAGAGAAGTGATATTCCCAACTAGACAACTGTGCATGAATATCAAATGCACATTTGTTCATAATCCATCAAATTAAATATTCAGTTAATATAGAATAATTAACCTGAGAAATTAATATTCTCACGGAAGCTTTGTAAGCAAGAAATCTAGACTTGTAATTTTTTTTAGAACAGTCAAATTTCAGATGGAATTGAGCAAGCAATTTTTTTTAACCTTTGTGGAGTATCGTAGGCTAAAACCGTTGTTTCTTTGTTATGGCTCTTGCCTTCTATTGCAGCAGTGGCTGTACAGTCTGTGCCGTATATATGCAATGTGCTTATTGTTTGGAAATAAGAGTAAAACTGTAATAGCTAATATAAATATGTTTCTATCATTGTCGCATGTATTTAATGTGCAGAAATATAACATGTAAAAATCATTGTGAGGTGCTTTTCTGTGTGTGTGTGTCCCCAAGGACCTTGGACTCTTCTAATTCTTCAGTACAGTGAAAGAAGAGGCTGTCTGTTTAAAAGTATCTCAATGACTGGGACTCTCAGAATTGGTATGGGCAGGTTATTGTCTTGGCTGATCAGTAACCACGTCTGTACTTGAGTGTTATTATCAATTGTTTTTTATCCTAGATCTTTTGATGCACACTGGTGGTAACAAAAAAGGAGTGATTTAGGCAGCTGAAATAAAAATTGTGTCCTTTCTGGACTGTGTAGATTTGTATGAAGGTAGTTTTTAGGTTTCCATTAACAAAAAAAAAAAAAAAAAAAAGAAAGGCAGGGGAGTCAGCAGGGAGAGAATTGCACACCTGAATTTAAAAATTGTATTCTTTCTTTTTAGAGGAAAAAGATCATAAAGACTCACAAATGAATTTATTACTATTATTATTTGAAGCATTCAGGCTTTGTAAAGAGTAGCTTGTGCACTGCAGCCAGTAAGAAAGAAATATTTTTCATCTAAGTTGACTGCAGTGCGCTGTAGCTGATGACCAAACTCATTAGCTTAACTGGGTTCAAAGTTTCACTTAGTCTTTTCATAGTAACCCAGTTACTTGGCTTTAATTTTGCAGTCAAAATAATAATGTTGCAGTAAATATTAAGATACCCTGGTGAGAAACACATCAAGAGAGCGATAATATTTAACCACTTATTTCATCATAAGCTTACCGATAAGCGTTTGGGATTTAATTAATTATTTTTTTTAATTAGACCTTCTCTGAAAATTTCACTGCTCTTCATATTTTTTTATCTGAGACATTTCTGAAATTTGAGTTTAATGTTAAGCAGATGATTCACAATCGAAGGGTTCATGAGCAGGAACAGCAGTATTGTGGCATAAGTGATAAAGTACAGTGGCAGCTTTAATTTTAGGGTCTCTTTCAAGGTCTGTATATCTACTCACATGGATGCCACATTTCATTCCTCTGGACAGCCTTGCCCATGCACCACTCTCAAACATGAGCATGTACGTCCCTGCTTTGCATGATCCACCCCACAATGGGTGTCTCGTGCAAATATTAGCAGTCGGGGTTCTGCAGTGAAGTTCCCGGAGTGAGCATAGAGGGGAAAGGCACCAAGATCATGTCGTTTCAACTTTTGAGGCGTACAAGTATGCGTTTCCTGAGATAAGAGGGCCAGAGGTGGTCTGTCTATTTTTGTCACTGTCAAAAAGGTATTTTCATTTACTCAAAACATAACAGCTCTTGTGTACCTTAAAGTAAAATACCAGCAGAGAAAAGGCATCTGTAATTTTTACATGAATTTGTTGAGTGATCTCACCGATACTCCTTTATTTTATGCTTGCTGAATTTATCTTGCAGTAAAGCTTTAGTGCCTTCTCCCTGCTAGTACTTTAGAGCTGGTTAGCTAAAACACATCAATAACCGGCAACAAAACCCCACTATTTTGGTAGTCAAATTAAGAAGCTGGGGTGGAACAATTTGCAGCAACGTCAAAATCTCTCTTCTGTCTCTTTCTTTCAGAGAGTGCCTCTGAGGCTGATTCACGCAGAACATACACTCTACAGAATTACCTGAACGATGACTATAAGTACAAAACACATAATTTGCAGTGGATTTCAGGTAATTCATTTCTACATACAGCATAAATGTCAAGAAAATGTACTGCCTTTGGTAAACACGTATCTTCATGCTGAGGTGACTACTGTATCCTGAAAAAAGAAAAGTCAAATTATAGAAAGGTGCATAGCTCAGATAGTTGTGATTTTTTTTCCCCTTAGATACACATTCGTGTTCACAGTAAGCTATACGCTCCTGCTGCTAAAAGAGCATACTTACTTCTGTGCTTTTTTGTAGGAGTGTGTTATACTCTGAAGTGTGTCAACTTCCTGTGCGAAAGGCTATCAGGGAACAGAAGGATACAGGGTGCTTTTCCTTTTGAATATGCCTGGTGCCCCAAAGGAAAGAGATACCAGAAGGCAGAGGCTGTGAGCCCCAGGACTACATTTTGTGAACGTTCTTGTGCTATAAACATCCTTTCATTACAGAAGTAGGAAACACAATATTGACCAGATTTTTTAATTTTATTTCCTGCTTAAAAACATAAGGGGAAAAGAGAAGTAACTGATGAGCATTTTAGGTATTGTTTATTAGCAGCTCTCTCGTTCTTCTAGGAAATCAGTATGTTCACAAATCAGCTAATGGGGACATCCTACGTATCGATGCTGGCACTGGAACATCCTCAGTAATCTTGGCGAATACAACACTAGTACGTTCACTTATATATAATATATGCAGACATTGGGAAAGGTGTTGAATTTAATATTTTGTTCTGCACATTTCTTTGGAGTCAGTGCTTTATGTGTTTCTTTTGCCCTTTGTTGACAGGATAAATACAACGCAACCACAGTTATATTGTCTCCTGACCAAAAGTTTGCTCTTCTGCAGTACAGCTATACAAAGGTACAAGTGCACTTTGCATCTCCGAGGATGAAGCTGGGAAATAAAGGTTTGGGAACAACCCAGCAAGAAGCTGGTCTTGAAAGTAGGGATGTCAGAGGCTGAGAGAATGTGAGGGAAATGCAGGAGGATGCATGAACGCGATGGATGTCTGCAGGGGAACAGCGAAGTTGAGCAGGCAGGAGGAGGAGAAGAGACTGGTGGTGTCTGTGAGCTTGGCAGCAGGGGTATGACTGCCTGAGAAGAGAAGCTGGATAAGAAGTGGATGGAGAGAGATCACAAGGAGAGTGAGGCTGGGTGGTTCCCCTGGGGAGACAAGCTGGAAGAGTAGATAGGCATGACTGTCCAAGGAATTGTGTGGGTAAGGAGGAGTGATGGGTAGATACACTTGTATACGTATGCTTGTGTGTATATATATATGCTATGTATATATATGGTGGTTACATTGTGGTGTTAGGACATAAAAATTTAAAACTGAGGTGAATGAAAAGCAGCATGTGCGTACAAGAGAAGGCTGTCCTCTTGCGCTTGGAGTGGACTTGGGTGTCTTCATTCCCTGCTGTCAGCAAGCACACGAAAAACCTCCAGGACAATGCCCCATCCTGGCTTGGTGCTGAACCATGCACCAAAGGTCAAGCTACGTTTATGCCAGCTGGCATGAAGACCTGGCTCTGCGTGCCGCTTGAGGACAGTTACAGAAACCTAATGGAGGTGATAATTTGCCCTACAGTGTGTGCACTAAGAAGCCAGTAACTTTGTTGTTGTTTCCTTTTTTTTTTTCCCCCCTGAGAGCTAGCTGCCTGTTCGGTTTGTAAAAAGCTCAGAGCTGACTTGTGCGGTGTACAGACTCTTGAGCGCTGTGTCATTGAGCTCTGGCTACACGCTCTGGCTTTGCAGTCCAAGAATGCCTCTCACACTGTGCCAGTCGCAATCCACGCACTCAGTCATGGCTTTTTTTGCAGTTTTAGCTTCCTCGCTAGGTACTACTAAGCCAGTTACCTTTTGTCTCTCTGAATTGTTCAGAATTGTTTGAGCTTTCACTGCATCATTAGGGGCCACAAAATGCCTTCTATTTTTCCAGCCACCCTAGACGTCCCCCCTGCTCATGATTTATTGCTCTATAGTATTTTATTTGTTGCAGTCATAAGAGATAATTTTATTTTAATGCTGAAGCAAGGTCTTTTAACCTTTATATAATAGTGTGATTGAAAGTTATGTTATTATTAATCTTTATTGCAAGAAAACACAGTAGCAAAATGAATCATGGGGATGTAGACACTTCTTATGTAATAGCCATCTGGTTGTGTAGTACTAAGTTATTGTTTTATATCTTCATACAAATCTTCAAGAACCATCATGAAAGGTAGCATTATTGTAGCATATCAACACTGTGGGCTAAAGCAAACCTCTTCGGCCCCGCATAGTGAACACATTTACACGTGTCTGCATTATCATCGTGATCTTTCTCTCTGTAAGGGCCCACAGAGCGATACAGACTTCAAGGGACAGGTTTCTGAGAGAAAGGGTTTATTTCTGTGGCAATATGAATGGGAATAGGTCACCCTGGAACTGGAGGAACTTCTGCAGAAATACTGCTGGGACTTGTAAGGACTACTAAACAATAAGATGCCAAGTTAAATAATACAGCATGGAAAATGAGACAGAAAACAGCAAGTGTGCCAGTAAGGCAGAAGGAGGAGGATTAGCTGTGCATAGCTATGATAGTCTGCCATGTAGCTACAAGGATTTCTGAAAATCTGCAGCATCTCTGGCCTCTGTGTCATTGTCCTTAATCAGTCAGCAGCCTCCGTCGTAGTGTTCAGGTGATGACCCCAGAGGGGTGTTGATTCTTTAGTCTTTTCTTAAACCTTGCAGAGATTTGTTACCCTTGTACATTCATTGTGTTCTGTGTGTCACACAAAAGCATGAGAAGGGTTTCAGAGGTAATTCAAACTCTAAGAGACATGAATCCTGGTGAAATCTATTTTCTTAATGTTTTCTTAATATTAAAATAATTCTTTTGCAGTTGTGGAGGCATTCCTATACAGCTTCATATCACATCTATGATTTCAATAGCAGGTCAGTAATTTTTGCATAGGAGACATAGTTTTAACATTATTTTGTAATGAAATGACATTTCGCTGATTTATCTTAGCTGCCTTTTGGTTTTGTTTTTCCAGTTCTATCTTAGATGACGGACTACTACATAATGATATACAATACATATCCTGGTCACCTGTTGGTCACAAACTGGTTAGTACAAATAAGTGAAACTTATATAAAACAGTCATTTTTGTGTACGTGGGATAGAAGCTCACATTGTATGTACCCTTGAGGTTTGGGGACTTTCCTGCTGCTAGATAAGTAGCTGGACTAGTTTCCAAGTTGGCTGCTGTTGCTGGAAAGACTCCAAAATCTCTCTGTGTGTTTTGTTTTGTTCTTTAATGAAAAAGCACTCCTGAAAGTAATAGTGTCCCCAGTAGTCATATAATGCACAAATGCACAGGAACTTCATGTTTTTACAGTTGCAGACAGTAGTTCATCCCTTTCAAAGGCAACAGCATTACAATTGTCTACTGACTCATCGCTGTGATTTTTATCTCCTAATTACACCATAAGCAGTGGAGTGTTGCTAGATGCTTGTAACAGGGATTAGAGGATCAAAATCTCTCTTGTACTCTTTACCACTGTTTCTTCCTCCACTCCTCCCCAGCCCATGGCAATCGTGGCAGCCACTGTGTCTGCGAGGCTTGTGTATTCCCTATGGTGAGTGTCAGATCTGACTAAAGATCTGCCACAGGAGAATGTGGTGTTTATTTATTCTTATTGTTTGTAGTATAGGGATTATAGAGCCCAACCACAGAAGCAAAGGATGTTGAAAAGAGGTTTCTGCATCACAGAGCAAAGCTCTGGAATAAAACTGAGTTGTTCAGGTGTTGGAGAGGAAATTAGAGAGGCAGGCAGGTTCCAAAAGCTAGAGAAGTTCTGAGCGCTACTGCAGAAATGTACCGTCTCTGCAGATCTATTAGCAATGCTGAGACCTCCATCTATATTTTACCAAAGTACTGATAGTTTTCTTTGAAAGACAAATTAGTGAAAAACAACTCCCAATGAAGGAAAATAAGCTTGTATCTCAACAGAAAATGAATAACAAGGTTTTCAAAACTTGATATGGTAATCATGTCATTTATTATAGTTGTTTTTTGCATCTAGGCCTGAAGTTAGGTTGCTACACATGATTTGTATTAGTAATTCAAGTTTGTTAAGGATCAGTGATGTTTGGTGAGACGCAACTTTCACAGTTTTTGTCATCTAATGTAAAAGTAAATTTCCCAGTAGATGTGGCGAAGGAAGGAAGTAGGATTTACTCTAACAGTAATTGTAATCACAATAATGTTTTGCAGGCCTATGTTTGGAATAATAATGTTTATGTAAAAGCTTCACCAACAGAAAAATCTGTGCAAATCACTGAAAATGGAGAGGAAAATAAAATTTTCAATGGAATACCAGATTGGGTTTATGAAGGTAACTATTTTACTTTGCATAGTGCTATAAAAGCTTTATTTTATTGTAACTATTTTATTATAACTCTTATCTCATTTCTTATCATTGAAAAGTTAAAAATAATCTAAGTCTGGATTTTAGCAGAAGCATGCATCTTTACCTGAGCTTAATACCTGGGTAGTGTGAGGATCTAAGAAGGGAAATGAGTTTGCTGAACTTGCAGCACATCACTGGAAATCATAGTGTGTGTGAATTAGCTTCATATGATAGATTATAAGCATTGATCTAATGTCTCATTTCGGAACCCTAACAAACAGTCTGAACTTTGGTATCTGAACTTCAATTAAAAAAAAAGAAATCGTATTAAAAACTAATGAGAACAGTACCTAGGATAGAAGAGCCACCTTATCAATTATACCTTAAATGCATTTGCATGTCTTTCAGAGGAAATGTTTGGCACTCATTCTGCTCTGTGGTGGTCTCCAAGTGGCGATTTTGTGGCATATGCAGCATTTAATGATACAGAAGTTCCTGTTATAGAGTATTCCTTTTATTCTGAGGACACCTTGCAGTATCCAAAGACCATTAGAATCCCATATCCCAAGGTTTGTGTTATTTATTAAACACGGTTGTTCTGCAGTTTCATTAAGAGAGTAGTCTCATTTAATCAGTTTCTGCTAATGAAAATATTGTCTGTCTCTCCTCAACAGCTTGCTGTGATTACTCTTTCTGAAGTCAACAGCATCTGGCAATGTTAAAGTATTTTATTATTCCCAGGGGAAAGCAAAAAGAAAAAAAAAAAGTATGATTTAAGCTTTTGTTGTTTCACCAAAAATTTTTGAGGTAGCAAGTAGATGTTGAGATCAAAAAGCTTTTCGGGAATTGAAGCTGGTACGAAGCATTTGGCAGATGTACGTTTTGTTAGGGTTTTATGTGGTGTTGATAATGGAATCTTCTTCAACTAATGTAGCATTTTTAGCTTTTGGATACTTCCTATATTGGGATGAAGGGGAGGAATCTGCTGATGGAGTTTCTTTGCCCACACCTAAAGCTCTTTCAGTTTTAGCTGTGAGAGTGAAGCTTGTAGTGCGGGCAGATTCTTCTCCTCCCCCTTCCTCTCCACATGACTTTGTGCCCACTGCTCACAGCACAGTTGGCACTGGACTATGTGATGCGAGAGTCCAATACACTGCAAACAGGTTCTTTCAGATACTCCACATGTGGAGAGTTTAATGTTTAATACAAGATTTACCTGTGTGACGTTACTTGACATTACACGGGATTTTGATTTAGCAGAGCAATGCAGCAGTGCACTTCAGACCCAATACAAGTACACATTACCCTTAGAGTACAACAATTGCATTATACTGCTGAATTGCAATACAAACGTGGTTCTCCTTGCTGGTCTCCATAATATGGTCACCACCACAATGCTGGGCATCCCCAGTACTGGGCAGGAATACGTGGGTTGAAACCATCTCGAGCCCATCACTTTCTTCAGTTCTTTTTGTTCATCATTTGCTTTTTATACTCTGTGTTGGGCTGAGGCACCTATATATTCCCCCCACACTGGTCTGGCCAGCTCAGGAAGGTATTTTCACTCTTGATTAACTGGGGCAGAACAGCTGGTACAGGCAGCTGATTGCTCAACTGATACAGCTGTTTGTCTGGTGTAAAAGCCGCCCTCCCCTTGGTGCCAAGTTCAGCTTTCTCTGCAGCAGCTGTGGTCAGTCGTTCCCCACCCCTTCCCAGAGCTTCAGGAGCACACGGCCTTTGCCTGTCCCCTTGGAGCCTCTCCCGGAGGGGTCACTGATGCTCACGGCGAGCTGCTGGACTCACTGACAGCTACAGGGACTCTGCCCTCAGCGTGGTGCCTGTGGAGAGACGTAGGTGTGGAATGAACCGACAATTTAAATTGTACTTTTTTTTATTTTAAACCCCTTTTGTTTGGAATATTGCTGACTTTTGGAGGTGGGTCAGCTACAGCTACCTAAGCTTTATGATGAGGACTTGGCTAGTTAATTTCTAGAGAAGCAGCCTTTACTGATACAGTTATATTGCTGGCAGTACCTAGTAGCACTACATTAAAAATCGTGGGGTGCGTGTTGCAGTCACAGCTTTGACTGTGGTATAGGCAGCTATTACATGACCACTTAATGTGAGGTATCAGTTTTGATGAAGAAGCACTTTTCTGTCAGTTAGCAATGGATTGGATGCACTGTTAGATGCTGTATGTGGCATGTGGGATGAGATGTGGTCAAATGCTGCTGTGGGTACAGCAAGCCCTATGTAATTATGAATGTTTCTAAATGCAGTAGTCTGGCTTATGTAGAAAGGCATAACTAACACTTTCACATAAAAAAAAAATTACAAAGAATAATTCATGTATCAATCTTCAGAACTGCATTTAGGAGCTTGTCTTTTCACATGTTTGAAGTCGGCTGGTTCTACCTGACTGTAGTAATTTCTTCGTCTATGGTTTCAAACACTTATTTCACCAAGAATATTCTCTCTTCAAAAGTACAATGAAAAATTTTATTTTTAGGCAGGAGCTACAAATCCAACTGTGCGATTCTTTATTGTGGATACCAGATTGTC